GTATTTCCCCCTAAAGACTGTTTTTACCAACCCTGGCCCCTTTAAAAGAAATGACTCTCAACCCCCAGAACTCCCCAGCCAGCACACCGGGCGGGGGGAATTCTGGGAGTTGAAGTCCACTCATCTTAAAGTGGCCAGGTTTGGACAACACTGCATTAGAGGGAACATCCGTTCCTAAATAACTTTGCCCCATCTCTGGAGGAAAACCTCCATTTTTAGCATTAGCTCTAGAACTGTATGCATGGGCGAAGTAATCAGATAATGATATAACTTGGGCTAAGCTCCTGCATTAATAAAAAGCAAATTATTTCAATTCTCACTATTGACAGCATGTGAATGGAAGTCTGCAGCTGAAAGACATATTCCTGTACAGATCCACTGAGATCACAGAAACTCTTCACATATGCATTGTCACATCCAGATCTCACTAAACTCCTTGCAACTTACTTGACCTCTATGAGGCCTTTGGGAATGCACTCCTAGAAGGGAAATTAAATCACATACCAGGCTGGAAAATATCAGAGCACAGGCTTTAGGAAGCTGCCCAGGGCCTCCTCTAGTTCCTGCCTGGTGCAGGGAAAAAAATCTTCCATCACATAAAAAGGAAAGGAAGGTGCAGCCAACAAGGCGCCACTAGACCCATCATATGGAAGCTCCTTAACCCTGCTTACAATTTTCATCTGCAATATGTAAATATGCGAGGCATGAAATACTTTTTGCACTGAATGTTTGCAGTATCTTAGAAAATGTTTATGATAGCAGCACATGTTGGGAAAGAAGGAAAAATTTGATAAGAGAGGCCTCACCTGAGCAGGGCACACCGCTTCACACAGCTTGCAAGCAATGCATCGCTCCTCTCCAGATGGGTATCTGCGCAGGGCATGCTCTCCACGGAATCGTGGACTCAACGGGCCCTTCTCAAAAGGATAGTTGATGGTGGCAGGCTCTCGAAATACATAACTCATGGTTGTAGCCAAACCTTAGAACGTTAGAATGAAACAAAATACACCGTTGGTTTAAATAAGCCAAAGAAGGGCAGAACTGGTGCCCTCAGATGGCTGGGACGGCAATTCCACATCCCCCTGTCATGAGCTAGGACTAATGTGAACTGAAACTCAAATTATCTAAGAGTACCAGGTTGCCAATCCCTGAAATGCACTATGGATCTCATCCTCAAAGTTCAACTAAGTCAGGAAACAAACATCTGGAGTTTCACTGTTTACTGTAGCACAACAATTTGGCACTTATCTGCTCATACAGCACTCTGCAGTTCTCATCAGGTCATACACATATATAACTCCTTGGTAAAGTTACCCTGGCCATCTCCACTGTCCACCCACAGTATAGACAGAAACCATGGAAGAATCACAGCATAGAACTACAGCAGCCCTCCTAACTTCCTTCCTCAGTCCTGATTTAAAGGGACATATCAATTGAATACATGCTAGGCTTATATGATACTGGCCACTTCAGAGCCTGCAGGGCAAAAACTAGAGGATGTCACAAGCATTGTCCTCCTGTGTCATGGTATGTGGGAAAGACTTTGGGAGATGGGGCAAAGAGATGCTGCCTAGGGAATGATCAGATAAGAGGCAGCATAGCCCACAGCTGTAAAGTGGGCAGGGCAAGAGGCTCAGAAGGGACCTCCCTAGTTTCTTGGGCTGTAAAGGAGACGGCGTGAGAATTGTACTTTCAGACTTGCAAGATTCTATTAATGTAGCTTTACAATAAAGTAGAATTAGCTTATCTGGTCATGTTTCCTGTCTGGTCTACCTGGTAAGGTTGACATCTTGCCACAGACTAAAGCAGGGGTGGGCAACCTTTTAGTGGGCAAGTCCCATGCAAGATTTGGGAAGGGGGCAAAAGGCCAGAAAGAGGATAAGTCCACAACTGGGTTTGGCAAGGAATGTAGAGTTTTTCTTTCCTTTTTTTAAAATCTCACTAGATCCCTTCTAAGACTTGAATAACAATTTTTGTAGGTTTTCCACTTCAAAGTGAACGGGGTGAAGACCTGTACTCTCTTGTTCTAGAACACAGGTGATCACAGGAAAGTAAATTCCAACTGAATGCTAGGAAAAAAAAGTTCCCTAACAATAAGAAGAGTTCAAAGAGGGAGCCCACAGAGGTAGGGGGCTCCCTCTTCACTGGATATGTTCAAATGAAAGCTAGGCAGGCATCTGTCATGGAAGCTTTAATTTGGATTCCTGCACAGAGAAGGTTTGACTAAATTGCAGTGACTCCTCCTGATACTAGTTTTATAGAGATTTTTTTCCTCTACTAGTAGTCTTCTTGGAATGCCCATTTCAATTAAAAAAACAAAACAAAGGTTAGATCAGTATTTCACAACCTCAGCAATTTTAAGACGTGTGGACTTCAACTCCCAAGAATTCCCTAGCCAGCATGTCTGGCCTGGGATAAAGCAGCAAGTTATATATCCAATTGTTAGGATGCAAGGACAGTAGGAAGCATTATAGGACGGGACAACCAACTTCCTTTGAGTAAATCATTTTATGTCTATAGAAGAGATTCTTTCTCTTCAGTTAGTGCCCAGAAATAACAGTCATCACTTATCTCACTACTGCTCACCTCGGATAAGTTCTGTCCACAGGAGAGTCTGTGCAGCTTTGTCAGTGACCGATTTCCAATCTGTTGGCTCCTCCCTTGCATTCACATACTCTGCAGCAAAACAACAACTTGAAGTGGGAATTGTTGCCATTCAGAAGTCTCAAAGATGTCACAAGAAGCATTTTATAGGAAAGAAACAGTAGGGAAAGAGAGATGGTTAACCTATCGAGAGTTGTTAGAACAAGAACATGGGGAATATAAGATGAAACCAAGAGAACTGGCTGCAGAGGGATTTAGCTTTCAACGGTTTTCGTACGTACAGTTAAGAGAAAGATTTAAGGTAGATAAAAGGACATTTGGAAATGAGCAACAAAAGACAGAGTTTGAAGTTGAATTATGTACATATGATGTAATTGCCAAAATGTATAAACTCTTGCTGAAATTAGAAATGGAGGACGAACAAGTGAAAGAGTGTATGATAAAATGGACTAAGAATTTTGGATATAACATACTGTTGAAACACTAGGAAAACATGTGGTTGAAAGGATTGAAATTCACATTATGTTATAACCTATAAGAGAATTTAAAAAAAATAATGGACCATTGGTATATGACCCCAGAAAAATTATCCAGAATGTATAAAGGTACTTCAAATTTATGTTGGAAATGTGGACATACATGAAGGGTCATTTTATCATGCTTGATGGACTTGTAAAAAAGCCAGAAAATTTTGGGTTCAAATACATATACTGATACAAAGAATTTTAAAGACCAAGATTCAACTGAAACCAGAACTTTTTTTTGTTGGGATTAATGGACAGACGACTAGAAAAAAGCCAGGGAGATTATTTTTATATATGATCACTGCTGCGACAACTACATGCACAAAAATGGAAAAATTCTGAAATACCCACAACAAAGGAATGGTTGGTGAAGATGACGGATCTAGCAGAGACAGCAAAATTAACTTGTTTGCTTAGAGAAAGATCAACTACTACATTTATTAGCAACTGGAACCCCTTTATGTTCTTTTTGCTGAAAATAGAAAAAAAATGAACTGATGATTTATGGATTTGATGATTAGAAAGGGTAGCTTATGGAAAGAAGGAAACTTTGATGCAGCCTTAGAGAGAGAGGGTAAAATATAAATGTACTTACAGTTGCTGTTAAGAAGATTGGAAGACACTTCTTTATTGTTCTTCCTTATTGTTCTTTCCTTTTTTCCTTCTTTTCTATCTCTTTTTCTTTATTTCTTCTTCACTTTTCTATTACCTTTCTCTATTTCTCTTTTCTTTAACTTAAAATTTGTATTGTTTTTACTCTGTGGAAAAACTTCTGTGATAAAAGTTGCCTGCCTGCCTGCCTATCTATCTATCTATGACATCATTATACAAAGGTGACCACTCTCATAAAATATTTACTATGGAAATTGCACAAACAGGAGAATGGATCTCAATGTTCTTAGGGGAAAAAAATCTTGAAAAGCAACATTGTCCATTCCCAAGAACACTGGTAACTATTCCCTTGGCTGTACTATTCCCATCAGCATCCTTGAGTTTTTTTTAGGAATGATGCCTTCACAAGCTCACTAGCATGGCGTGATTTTCTGGGCAACACATTTCACTGAGAAAGACTGTCCAAATTAAATTCTATGTTCCCCAAGAGCCGCCTGTCTAGCAGCATTTGTACCATCTGTAGATTAGGACAGCCGAATGTTTCCAATTATCTCTTGTGTTAGTAACTGCTACATTCCTACAGCGAGCCCTACTTCGACTTTTGCAAGGCAGATGATGCACTTACTGTAGGAAGCTCTGGAGGCTGTGCTGCTGAGATGTCGGGTAAGACTCAGGCACACCGGAATCCCTAAAGAGTAACAGCAATGTTATTTTCAAGCAAAAGTAAAAATACTCATCCCAGATGCCTCAAAGCAGGAATTTTCCAACCTAGGGCTCCCTTAATATTGCTTTTTTAAATCTTGAACAAGCTGTTTCTAGAGCAGCCATATCAGTAAACAGTTGCCTGGCAGCTATAAGCAGCAAGAAATAGCACAGAGGAAATGAAGTCAAGTAAGCTGGCTAGCACCAAGGAAAGAACTAAGGGGGCTGCCAGAGAAAGCAAGTCCGCTTTATTTCCAGCAGAAGCCAAAGAGCTCTGCATCCCTCTTTTGTCAGTCCAAATTTCAGCTAATATTATGACCAGGATTTGTCTGCAAACAAGCATGATACAATTATTACAGACCACTAGACTCTATGAAGATGAGAAGCTCAAGTGCCGGTGTTTAGAGGCATCATATCAGGCATTGCGATAAATGGGAAATGACTAAGCCACTGTTTATTTCAATGTGATTTTCTGAATAAGCCAGAACTGGCAGCTTTACACAATGCACTAGGTTATAAACAATGGTTTACAATCCACAATAGCTGTGTTCACAAGTTACATCAAAACCAAAGAAACTGTATTAAGGCTTAAGACAATGAAAGAATCCAGCCATAGTCTGTAACACGTCATGCCTATACAGGTAGTCCTTGTTTAGCAACTGCCTTATTTAGTGACCATTCGCAGTTATGACAGTGATGAAAAAGTAACTTTACGACCAATCTTCACATTTATGACTTTTGCAGGTCTGTAAAGCAAAGGAAAACTGAAGTAAGATCATAAGCACATCACTCAGCAACCACTTCGCTTAACAACCGAGTTGCCAGTTCCAATTCTGGTCACTAAATGAGGACTACCTGTACTTGATATAGCATCCTTATAATGTCTCCTTTATACTTCATCTGAAAATACAGAGTAGACCTATAATATCTGAATTCACAAATACATTTTGAAATTAAAGTATGAAATTAAGTTTTGGGAGACTTCTGCTACAAGCTCTGCCTTGATAAAGTGAATAGAATAGAATAGAATAGAATAGAATAGAATAGAATAGAATAGAATAGAATGTCATAAAATTAGCAAAAGCACTTGGCAGAGAAAATATTCCAAGGTCAGTGCTGGAAAAAATATGAACTAAATTCCACCTTCATCAAACAATGACCTCTACAATACACACAAACATATACAGAATTACACACCGCTGTCTCTCTGGGCTCTTCTGTGACTACACTTAATTAGATGTCAGTGAAGGAGTGATCTAACATGCTATTTCAAGAAATACAAATTTCAGAGAAACTGTTCAAAATCCAACAACAATCTATCCTTATCACCTATTTGAAGACTTCTATTTAATCCGAGAATGTTGGCATAAAGTTATAAAGTCATCAAATAGCTACCTGAATAGTTGGTCCTCACTTAATGACCACAATAGGGATCAGAAAATTGGTTGTTAAGCGGGACAGCTGTTAAGCGAGTGACCACATGGCCGGATCCGATTTTACAACCATCTTTACAGTCGTTAAGCGAATCACTGATAATTAAACAAATCCAGTTTCCCCTATGGATGTTTTTTGCCAGAATTCACTTAATGACCACATGGTTCATTTAACAACCCCAGTGATTCACTTAATGACCACTGTAAAAAAGGTTGCAAATCACAAACATGTCACCATGGGGGTGTGTGATAGTTTGCAACAGTCATATTGTATTGTAATGTATTGATACAGTTGCAACAATGAGTTAGGTGTCAACATTCTGGCCTGAAGGAGGAAATGACTGACCAGCCACTGATTTTCATCTGTAGTCTCTTACATAGCTGCCCGTTTCACATAAAACGACTCTGGGCGGCTTCTCCAGTAAGGCTTGCCAACAGTTCATCCTACTGGATGACGTTGCTACCACTGACTGAGATCCAGGTACCTTAATAGCTTCCATCTGAAGCATCCTGACTCCAAATGGTGGCATGGTTTCCATTTTTCAAGGTAAGAAACATATTGGACCATCCCCCAAGACTTGATATAACTGAAAGAAACTCACCAAACCCTCAAAATAACTAGAAAATTCCAGCCTATGTATGTGATGGAATTCAATATCTTTGCATCATGGCAGTGGGGAAGTAGTAATCAAGATCACTGTTTATTGAGTGATTGGTCTCTGCTTCAGAGATCCAATTAACTGGAATATGCAGTTAATTTCATGAATAAGTATGAATAAGGCTTTGTAAGTTTCCTGGTGAAAACCAGCGTACTTGGATTGGGAAGACTTGACCATGATCCTCACTGGGTGGCTTTGGGCCAGTCAGAATCATTCTCCCAATCCATCTCACAAACTCATTTTGTCAGAGAATGACAGTATAACTCACCCTGAGCTCTTAGCAGAAATGAGGGCTATAAATGCAATTAATTAATTAAGCTGCATGTAGCTTCTTACCGCAATCTACAGAGTACATTCAGCATAAATTGCATTTTCTGAAGTCTTCATCCTGAAGAAACTCTGCAGTGCAACTTACCTGTCTGGGAAACATGGCGCATCATCCAGAGGACAAACATTTTCAGCTTGAGTCTAGGACTCCTCTACAAAAGTAGCAAGGAAAAATGAGGTGCTTAAAAAAATTAACGCAGGTCCACTGGTTACTATAGAAATCCACAAGAATATGATCAACTAAAATGCGATAAATAATGAGCATGCTTGTAGGTTCACCAAAACTCAGGTAAGGTGGATGGTAAACAAAGTCTGAAAAAACACAGGGAAAAGAAAGGACCTATACACAATCAACCAGAAATAACTCCCCTTGAGCACTGTGGGACTACATTTCAAGTTAACAAGACCCCACAATTACCCCACTATAACCTGTGTTCACTTATCCACGAATAATGCAGGCCCTGGAATTAAATCCTGATGTTTCCCTGTGAAAGTGTGTCTGAGGCAGCTTATCAAACACTTCTAAATAAATAGGACTGTATTGGTTATACTTTTCTCAGCTGCTGGGGGGGGGGATGCCCGCCAAACAGCAGTCGCCGATCCCCTTTTGAAAATACAAAAAACTGAAACACGGGGATCATACTAGAAACTATTCGGAATCCCCAGTCACAGACCCAGGGCAACCCAACCATGCTGCAAACGTGGACAGTGTTTCATGAAGGGCGCTGCTTACATTCATGGAACAAAGGAGGAAGCGCAGAGAGCTTCAAAAGCACAAGACTCCGCAGAAAAGAATCTTTCCTTCTAACTCTTCGGAAGACCCAATCCATCGAACGCTGGGCAACAGTAACGCGCATGCGCAACTCGCTTCGAAGCTACCTCTTTCGCCTGAAAACCTCGCCAAGGAGCCTGCGCCATCACCAGCCTGAGTAACGCATGCGCATTTCTATGTCCTCTGGGGCACTCTTGAAGGTCTCAGCAATCTGATGCTACTACGCTCTCCCCCGACTCTCCTCTCAGCGGAAGAATTTCCCGGCGCCACGGGAAGCCGAGCAGGACAAAAAGAGTCAAAAACTCACCCGCGAAAACAGTGATAGAAACTACTGCTCTGCTCAGAGCCGCCGACGAGCGGCAAAAATAACTGGCTCCAATCACCACTTGGCTGAAAAGTCATTGGTTGAAGATGACCCGGGAGAGGCAGGACATCCTTCGCGCTTTGGTCGAACGCTCGGAAACCTCCGAATATTTGGGGGCGGGGGAAAGGTTAGGTGCCGCCAGTTCAGGCTAAAAATAAGTCATTGATTGGCTGAAGGAAAACGAACTCTGCGTGGATTGGTGGATGTAACTTACCGAGAAGGTTGGTAGAACGTTGGGTCTGTGCTGCTAGAAGTAGCCTCTATCTCTTTCATAATGCTTGGCTTGCTCAGTTTAATCACGTTTCTGTGTAAGCCACTTGCTATTTGTAGTTTTCACCGCCTTCAAAATGCCCAGGAATCCGCACAATCACATTGTCTGGGTCGTAATTTTGCCCCCCTCTCAAGACTTAAATTGGTTTGCGCTGCTTTAAGTTCTGGGAAATACCAGCTTTTACCCGCTTTATTCCTCACAGGGTAAACTTCGTACACTTCATTCTTGTTTCTAGCAAAGCAAGCGTGTGTCATACGACCTTTTGGGGTAAGCAACGTTATGCGAAGTGCAGAACAAGCGAAGTAATGAGCAGAAGAAATTAAAGGCGGGAGAAAAAAATCTAAGCAAATCTAGTTTACACCAACACCCTTCACCATACCTGTCCGTTCCTTTCTATACTTTAAAATCATCCCACCTGGTCCATACTAGAACTGCGAATTACCTCCTATTCTTTAAAATTCTCATTTCTATTTGAGGAACTGTCAACCACAAGTTGGTTTTCTCAACCCATTCACTCTCAATATTTATTTTGCAATTCAGTCCATCTTCATTCACCAACCAATCTTGATATTTGTGCAAAATATTCCATAATTTAAGCCTAGTCACCTTCTAATATCCTTTCTCATGTCAACAAAGTACAATAAACTTTCCTTGACACATTCGTATATTTCTCAGTTACCCCAATGGTGAGCAAAAATGCTTGGCATAAACCTGTATTTCACTTCTCGATTTTGTTCTTGTCATCTCACTTTCTCAGTCAATATTTTGTCAAACTGTTCCTGGGCCCACTTAACAACCTAACCTGCCTGTAGTTTTTGCATTCACTCTTACTATCTTTCCTTTTGTGTATAGAGAAATGGTAGTGGCATTTTTCCAGTTGCCAAGCACAGATGAATTCTTCACATGCATGTTAGACAAGCTGTACAATCACTCCATAAGCAAACTACATCCATATTAGCATTTATCCAGTTGCTCCTGCAACCTTACTTTTTTTTAACTTTCTCATTGCATTTGTGATTTCCTTCTCATACCTTTTTTCTTAGACGATAATATTTGTGACATTCGTTACAATTCCATTCATCAACACATCACTATTGTTTCCACTCACATCTCAAAAATGCTTCTTTTAGGATGTTTTCACTTCAATTTTATCCAAATCATTTAATCACTTTTATCCTTAATTCTGTTCACTCTGCTGGACACTCCCTGTTTAACTCTTTTCATTCATTTCCAAAACAATATTTTAACATCTTAACCATTCAGTAATGTCTTTGACTACATGCTTTTCAGCTATTGTTTTCTCCCTGCACATTCTTATCCTCCATTTGTGCTGGAGTCTCTCTCTTCTATTTCTTCATCCATGGACTCTTTCACTTCATCATTCCAACAGACATCCTTTTTCATACTTCCCCTTAGCATAACTCCACACACATCTGTAGCATCATGTAAAAAATCATTCTTTTCACTCTGTTCCAAGCAACTTGCACATCTTACCTGAAGTCCATTTTCCATTATTATTATTATTATTATTATTATTACTACTACTACTACTACTACTACTGTTGGTCACACAGTCACCCAGATGTTTAGACTGGATTTGGCATTTTTACCCATCTATCGAGTCCTTCCCAAGGACCTGGGATAGGCAGATG